TGGGGGGGGTGCGGATGCACAGGGGCTGACTGAGATCTGGGGGGGGGGACTTGGGCTGATCCAATTTGAGTCTCCCCACCCCCGCTTTGCCAGGCCCACACCTGCCCTCAGTTAACTCAGGAGTGACTCCACTGCACCCCGGGGCAGTCCAGAGTGGCTGACCCCGGAACCCATGGTGCCCCGGCCAGACTCTGATCTCTGTTTCAGTGCTAATCCAGAGCGACTCCGCTTTCCGCCAGGGGAGCGACTCTGGATCCCCATAGAATTGGCTCTGCAGCTCTGGCACGTGCTGCTTCCTGCCCGCCAGTGGCACAAAACCAGAGATGCCCACGTAGGGCTCCGTCTGCCCACAACGGGGGCAGCCTTGGCCTTTGGGTTCCTTTGGAGGGTTCAATCCACAGGAAGCTGCCTCTCGCAAGGGCCCGTGATTACGGGTCTGGAGGGGGCCTAGTTTGTTGCTAGCATCCAATGTATTTTCCATGGCTCAAGGGCGGGAGGGGAGGAGGAGTCGAGCAGCCAGGGGGATTATTAAGACCGATGGGACAGTGGTTGAGGTGACTTGCCTAACTTGGCTTCCCTTCTCTGCAACAGACTCCCTGGGGGAGCTTGGGCAAGTTACTTGTCCTCTCTGGGCCTCAGTTTCCCCATCAGCACAACGGGGATAAGAGCCCTACCCTGGCACACTGGGAGGACTGGGGTTGTAAGATATATGGTAAAGATTGCAAGGTGCCCACAGGTTACGCTGGTGGTTGAGGTGACTTGCCTAACTTGGCTTCCCTTCTCTGCAACAGACTCCCTGGGGGAGCTTGGGCAAGTTACTTGTCCTCTCTGGGCCTCAGTTTCCCCATCAGCACAACGGGGATAAGAGCCCTACCCTGGCACACTGGGAGGACTGGGGTTGTAAGATATATGGTAAAGATTGCAAGGTGCCCACAGGTTACGCTGCAGGATCCTGGCAAAGTCACCGCTTCTTGGCATCAGAGTCCCTGGCAGGGATCCCAGAGGGAGAAAGGGCCAAGTTTTCAGCACTCACAGCCAGGGACAGCCGCCTTGGCAGACCAGATCCTTGGGGGCAGGGGAGAGCTTCTGTTTCATGTTTGTGCAGCACCTAGCGCGGGGAGGGGGCATGGCCCAGAACCAGGGCTCCTAGACGCTGTGGCCGCACAAGGAACAAATCTTCGTCGTTGCCAAGTTAGGAGCTGCCGAGCGCATGGGGCAACCGAAATCCTTCAAAGGAGCCAAGCCCTTAGAAATGGGCCTCAGTGGTCCCAGTGCCATGAATCTGGCCGGGCACGACTTGTCTGGGGTCGCACCGGAAGTCTGCGGCTGTTTGGAACTGAGGCCAGATGCTCTGAGTTCCGGGCCAGTATCTTACCATCCGCCCCTCTCTCAAAACACCCATGGGAGTGAGGCAGGCACCGGAGCATCTCTGGGGGTCTGGGCCCAGTGGCATGGGAACATTTTTAATAGGGAGGGGCTGAAAGTCAACCCCACTACCCCTGTTCCCCCCTGGCCCCAAGCAGAGCCCTGGTAAGGGAGTGCAAAGCAAGCAGTCACCTCCCTAGGGGAGAAGCAGCAGCTGCCAGGACCGGAGCAAGTGGCTGGCATCCCAGCCCCAACTAAAACCTCGGGGTGCTGCAGGGCCCCCCACACTTTTAGTTCCTGCACCTATGCCCGTGCCTAAGGTCAGTCGCTGGATTGTAACCCCCAGCCAGCAATACACCCGAATCACACCTCCTGAAGCCGGGAGATTGACTTAGAACTCAGCTTTGTTTTGCAAATGATAAATGCGGGGACTTGATTGCAGCTGATCCACAACTACTCAAGGTAGTTACGTCCAAACAGGCGGCGCAGCACTGCCAAGAGATCTCACAAAGCTGGGTGGCTGGACAACAAAATGTCAGCTGAAATTCAGTGTTGATAAATGCAAAGTAATATCTCGTTAGAAAACAGAGTCCGGACTCCATACATCAAATCAGGGGGTCTACATTAACGGTTGTCGCTCAGGCGAGAGATCTTGGAGGCGTGGTGGAGAGGTCTCTGAAAACGTCTCCTCACTGGGCAGCGGCCGTCAGAAAAGCAAGCCGAATGTTGGGAATCATTAGGAAAGGGATAGAGAATAAGACAGAAAATATCATGTTGCCTCTATATGAATTCGCAGGATGCCCACACCTGGAACACTGCAGGCAGATCTGGTTTCCTCATCTCAAAAAAAGATCTCTTGGCATTGGAAAAGGTACAGAAAAGGGCAACAAAAATGATGAGGGGTTTGGAACGGCTGCCATGTGAGGAGAGAGAAATACAGCTGGGACTTTTCCGCTTGGAAAAGTGATGACTAAGGGGGGATAAGCAAGAGGTCTATAAAATCATGACTGGTGTGGAGTAAGTAAATAAGGAAAAGTTATTTACTTCCTCGCATCACATAAGAACAAGAGGTCACCACGTGAAATTAACAGGCATCAGGTTCAAAACAAACAAAAGGAAGAATTTCTTCATACAACGCACCGTCAACCTGTGGAACTCCTTGCCAGAGGATGTTGTGAAGTCCAAGACTACAACAGGGTTAAAAAAAGAACTAGATAAATTCATGGAGGTTGGTCCATCAATGACTATTAGCCAGGATGGGCAGGGATGGTGTACTTAGCCGCTGTTTGTCAGAAGCTGGGAATGGATGACAGGGGAGGGATCACATGATGGTCCCCTGTTCTGTTCACTCCCTCTGGGGCACCTGGCATTGGCCACTGTTGCAAGACAGGATCCTGGGCTAGATGGACTAATGGTCTGACTCAGCCTGGCCGTCCTTCTGTTCTTTGTTCGTCCGATGCCCCGGGTTGTATTTTCAAACTTCCCGCTGTAACCAGGCGAGCGAGGCGCTTCCAGGGGGGTTTGGTTTTAAATGGAGGTTGAGTGTTTCCTTTCGTCACGTGACTCCAGGAGCGGGGGCTTTGGGGGAGAACACCCGCCGCGGGGATCAGAGCTGCCGGAGGGTGGCGAACGAGCGGAAGCGGGGGTGTTCGCTCTTGTGAGAGAAGGCTGCGAATGGACAGCAGGCGGCTGGGCACAGCCTGGCTTTCGTTTCAAAGCCCCCGTGCAGGGTTCCCAACTGGGCTCCCTGGACTCTAGGCTGACACTCCGGCACAGAAACCTTTTCTTTCCCTGCGTCGTGTTCACCCTGCCGGGACCCATTTCCTTCCCTTCCTGCGCACCGATGGGGCCCTGTCTCTTCCGTGCGTCCCTTTCACGTCCTTCCCCCGTCCGCGCCGCGCTCCGTCACCCTCGTGCCACCTCCTCATTGCGAGGAGCAGCCTGAGCAAGTCCAGGCCCACAAGCGCCAGGTGCTGTACAAACAACGGGCGTGTGCCCCGGCCCGGAAAACTCCCACTCAGTAGAGCCAAGAAGGAGCGTTCTCCCCGTGGTGCGTGGTGCAGAAACAAGAAGGCTCAGAGCCTCCAGGGGAGTTACGGGCCTAACTCCTATGGACACTCATGGGCGTTAGGCACCAATTCCCTTTGTGGATCTGTCCAGGGGCACGTAGGGGACACCGGCAGAGCTGAGAAGTGGTCCTAGAGCTGAATGCCAGCCTAGGGGGTTAACACTTTTTCTCCCACCCCTGGGAAAATGCCCCCGACACATGCCCTGTAAGAGCGGGGGGAATGGGGCTGGTATGGGCCTTGCCAACCTTGCTGTCACATTCGGACCTGGGGCAGTCCCAGCCCTCCCCCCCCCCCATTATCTCCCTGCCTTGGAGCCCTGGGAAGTTGGGTTCCCAGTTCCCATGGGGGGGGCACATCCGTCGTGTCGAGGGGCAGGGATCCGAGGGATCGAAGCGCCCGTGACCCTTCCCCTCTGCTTTCTCCCTCCTGCAGGATGCGCGTTCCTGACCTACTGCGCCCGGGAATCGGCCCTCAAGGCGCAGAGCGCGCTGCACGAGCAGAAAACGCTGCCAGGGGTGAGTCCTTGCAGGGCAATACAGGGGGACCCAATGGGGAGGGGCTCGGGCCGGGGCGTCGCTCCGTTCTCTCGGGCTGCAGCTGCCCGGCGCTGGTGTTATTGTGTGCCTCATCGTCCCCTCCCCCGCCCTGCCGAGTGCCTTAGCTTTTGCGATAACCAGATGGCCCCGCTCTATAAAATCTCCTGGGTTGGCTCCCATTGCGGGCCCGATCTGGGATTGATTGGAGTTGGGGTGGCTGGGCCCTGTCACTGGCATGGGGCGAGGAGACGCTCGCAATTTCCCATGGCACCAGCAAGGGGGCGTGGGGAGAAGGACCCCTGGGAGGAGGGGGGCTAACAGACACGTACCCGCCCGCCCATGGGCGTTGGGCGCCTGCCAGCATCGTTGGCGCTCCGATTGTGCCGTATCCTCTCCCCCGTATTGCCCTCCGCCCAAGGTGACTCACTCGCAGCTCCTGATGGAAAAGCACTGTGGGGCCAGCTGTCTCCAAAGGGCCGCCTGCCGCCGGCCGGGCGCTTCCGGGGGGTGGGTGCCAGGCAGTGAGGGATGTTGGAGTGCCAGGGGGGTGTCTGTGCGCCGGTTCCACCCGTCAATTTGAATTGGAGTGTTCGGGTGCCAGGTTGGCAGCTGCAGAGAGCAAAGTCCGGTGTGTCGGGGCGGGGGGGTCCCAGGCACAAAGTAGGGCATCCTACCCCGCCACCCATGTGCTGCACGTCCAGAGCCCCCGTTTCTAGGGGACAGAGCCAGGTGCTGAGGCGCAGGAAACTCATTTCACTCAGGCCACCACACCAGGGACAAACGGCATCACCGGGTGGTCTGTGCTGAGCAGGGCTTTGAGCCAGGGACGTCCAGCAGCGGAAACAGGCTCCCTCGAGGCAAGGCAGAGAACCCAGGAGTCCTGGACCCCCACTTCCCTGCCCCAGTTATGCCCCTCTCTTCTCCCAGAGCTAAGTGTGGCTTGGCTCCCGGCATGGAGAGCTGGGGCTGCCCCCTTTCCTGACGGGGGGCTGGGGAGTCATGCACAGACAGGACCCATGTCTGGAGCCCCCTGGAGCGGGGTGCAGGGTCCGGAAACGCAGCAGGAGTCTATCTGAGGGGAAATTCGCTGCTGAGGGGCCACATGCAAATGTGCATTCAGCCGGGCTGGCGGGATTGGCGGATCTCAACCACTTTAATATGACGGCTGCCCAATGGGAGCTCCGTGCCCCAGTGACCTGGAGCAACCGTCCAGGGAGCAAGTCCCGCCTAAGAGCCGACCCGCGGGAGCCCGGGTTACATGTGCCCATCCCACAGCAGGAGTCACGTCCACTGTACCCATGGTAGCCGGTGGGGGCAAGATGGGGCAGAGCAGGGAGGGGGCTTGTGGAAAGCTTGAGGCGACTGAAGTCAGAGGGGTGCCCCCAACCTGCCCCTCCCCCCCCCAGAGAGGTCCCCCAGTGCTCCTAGGGTTTCCAGGTGTCCGGTTTTCACCCGGACTGTTTGGTATTTGGATCCCCGTCTGGTAAAAAAAACAGAAAATACTGACGGAAGCCCAGCAGGGACAGTTTTCCCCTACTGCATCGGGTGGGGGAGTGAGGAGTGTGGGGCCATTTAAAGATGCAGCGACTTTTTTTTTTTTTTTGCCATGTTCGGGATTTTTGTTGAAAGCCTCTGGGAAGCCTGTGCTCGGCAGATCTGGTTGGAGTGTAGGCCTCTACCCACCCCAGGAACCAGGGATACCTTCCCACGTGTACTCCCCTGCCTTGCTGGGGAGCCCCGAGGGCACCGAGCGCCCAGCCCGGCTCTGCTCCAGGCTGAGACCTGCCGAGCTCACGTCATATGAGGGTCGAGCATCAGTCCCTGGAGCCAGCTCAGCGCTTCGGCACTTGGAGGTGAAAGGCCCCAGCGCCCCACCTGACGTCTGAGCCTTCCAGCCTCCTGGCTCTGACCTGTCCTTCACACCGGCCTCTGAGGAAGGCCAAAATACCCAGCTGGCTGGTTTTTCTGCCTGGCCTCCTGCTCCCTCCAGCTGAACCCTTTTGGGCCGGTTCTCATCCCCCTCCTGCCACCAGCTCCCTGGGGATAACCACTAATGCATGGGGCTGCATCCCGGCTCCCCGTCCTGGGGCCTGCTGGCTGAGCGGGGATCCCTGGGCAGAGCTGCATTTCTGGGGGCTCTGGTGGGTTCTTGCAGGACAGATCTCGAGCTTGCTGTTGCCTGGTCTAGACCAAGGGTGTGTAGCCTAGTGAGAGTCAGAGATCAAGTCAGACACTTCCCATGCCACGGGGGCTGGATCCCACGGCTGCACGGTGCAGGAATGGGTGGGCAGGGACTCAACCCCATGCTGGGGGTGGCCCTGAACCTTGGCTGCCAGAAGCCAGGAGGGGAAGAAGGGTGGATCTCCCCAATTTGCCCTGTTTGGTCCGCTCCCCATGAAGCTCTGGTACGGGGCCGCTGGTGAAGCCAGGGGACGGGGCAAGATGCTGGTTTGACCCAGAACGTCAGCTCACGTTCTGTATTCTGCTGCCGAAGGAAGGATGGACTAGTGGTTAGGCCACCAGCTGATGACTTTAGAGTTAGGTTCATGGCCCTGCCTGCCTGTACCGTGACCCTGGGCAAGCCCCCACGGCTCCGATCCTCAAAGATCTTGGGGCATCTGTCGCCCCACTGCTGCCCCCATCTGCTGCTGGCTGCCCCCCACCCCCTGACAGAACCATAGGAGCCAGATGATGTCCCTTTGTTAGGGCCTCCGGGTGACAGTTTGGTGCCTAACCCCAAAGAGGATCCGGGCCACGACTTTGTTTTGCACGTTTGGGGGGCAGCCCTGCCCTGCCCTGCCCCACAGAGCAGTGGAGGGTCAGTGGCCCTACAGACTGGGCCAGGTGCTGATACGCCGGGGATGGGGGCCTAGGGGAGACAGACCTGAAGCCTAGTTCACCCCAGGACCTTTGATCCTCTCCTGGGCGTGATATCGACTCTTCTAGGGACAGATAGTGACAAGATTTTTCTACCTTTGGGGGGGGGGAGTGAGATGGGGACCCCAGGAAAACGCGAGCCAGGGCTTTGCCCAGGATGCCCCAGGCGGGAGGGCAGCTCGCGTCCGGGGAAACTCTCCTGGAACAATAAGGGCAAAGTGCAAAGCCCCTCTGCGCCTTTGGATGGGAAAAAAACAACCCGATGGGAACAGCGGCGCCAGGCTGGGAGGAGAGGTTGCCTTGGCATCGCCATAGCAACCCTCGTGGGCATCTCCCGCCAAGACACCAGCTCCACCGGGGGCGGATTTGCTCTCTCCACCGCTTCCCACCCTAGTAGTCCCCCTCCAAACA